AACATAAGCGAGCCCTTGTGATAAAGGGCTTCGGGTTATCATGGGAGAGTCTCTAAAGCTTTGGTGTATTTCACTTAGGGGTCCTGAAGTTTAGGATGCTGAGAATGAAGGTTCATGCTTTAGTTCTCTATGCCGTGCCAGCGATGAAACAGTTATTCCGACTATTCCTACATGACATCGGCACCTGCTGGCAGCCAGCAGGCCTCAGCCTGCTGTTTCCTTGGGGCCGCAGCAGCCTAGCGGAGCACACAGCCTAAACCCCTATACAAAGCCCAAGCCGCATGGTAAACCCAAAACCGCAAGCCCCCAAAGCCCATGCCAAGCCCGGCACCCTGAACTCCAAACCCCCGTGCTAGACCCTAAACCCGAACCCCAAGTCCAGCCATCAAGGCCTTCCGGACTCTGACGCGAAAGGAAATCCAGGGCGCATTCGAAGAGATGCTCGAAAGGCAAGCCGCTGGGTTTCTGGATTTAGGGTTTAGGGTGTAGCTAGGGCCTCAGGGTATGGATATAAAGCATTAGGGTTTTGGAGTCACAAAGGTTTTAGGGTTTAGGGGGTAGGGTTTGAGTTTCAGTTGAGTTCAGGGTGAGGTAGAGAACGCTCAAGTCTACCGAGCCCATGATGGGAGCAGGGTGCAGTAGGGGAGCTGGCTTGTACGGATTTGAACTGTAGTCCCGACACCTCAAGCCTTTGTTGCTGGTAGTTCTGCGATTCGAGAGCTCATGTCCATCTCCATCCAAGCTCGGTAGCTCCGCTAACAAGCACGAAGGGCATGTCGGTGTACAATCACATCGTAGAGCTACAACCTCCCAAACCGAAGCCTGAGCCACATTGAACTACTTTAGGATTTGGGGTTCAGGGTTCTGCCTGCAACATGCGCTGGGGCAGGAAGGTGGTGCTCCCGGGCGCGGCCTTGCGTCCACCGTGTGAAGAAGAATTCCTGCGGGGCACGTACCAGGATCAGAGTCCCTGGCTTGAAGGTGTCTTCAACAAGGTTTTAGGTGGGTTTTTTTCCGTTCGAACACCCTTCCATTCCCACCGGTTCCCCTAGTCGGCGCGATGAATTTCAGCGAAGCAGCGCATGTACTCTGGCCTTCAGAGACTCGTTATATCGATGTCCTGCCACATATTATATGTCCGAAATCTGTCGCAGCTTCAGCCCTAAACCCCTTCACTCCTAATCCCTGTAATCCCCACACCCCGAATCACCCTAATCCATAAACCCTCCGCAACCATAAAGCTTTGAAGCCCTAAGTTCTCTTCTAAGCCCTATAGTACTATAGCGCCTAAACAGCCCAGGCTCTCGCATTCACAGCCAGGGATCCCCCAGCTTCCAAGCGGAGGACGAGAGAAAGGTCCGGCTCCCTGTGGTTTCGGGGTACATTATACTATCCTAATAATAATAATAGTAATAATAATAGTAATAATAATAAGGAACTCCCAAAACCCTATTCTAATTCTTGAGGCCCCTGTGAGAACTATTGGGTCAATCGTTGGGAGAAAGGCTTGGGGTTCAGGGCTTTAGGGTTTTAGGGCGTATAAAGGATCACCAATACTATTCGTGGCGCTTCTTATTATTGTATTGATAATATATGTAATGGCTCCAAAACCCTATTCTAAGTGTTCAGGCCCCTAAATTAAATTTTCGGGGTTCAGGTTTCAAAGCGGGGCGTTGCTCCGGATTGTAGGGTTGCAGTCTGGAGGCTACAGTTCATGTCAGCCGACACGGCAAGCATGGTTCAGCGGATCACGGCCGCGCATCACGGCCTAAGATGCAGATCCAGTCAAAAATCATGTATTGCGTTGGTGTTTTCGCCTCGAGTTTGCCACGCTGCAGCTCGTTCAAGGCAACATGCGATTGACATCTCCGGGAGTCGCGGTTGAAGTCCGTACTGAGGTGTAGCTAGGATTTTGCGACAAGGCAGGGCATGTTTGCTTGCAGTGTCAAACGTGTTATGTCGGTGGTTTTGTCAGGTTCATTCTGCTGTTGGACTCAAGGAGGTGGGTAGGAGGGCTGGGGGGGGGCAGGGGGGGGGGGCCAGGCCAACAAACGGGACACGCGTTTCGGGACTCCGGTGTAACTTGCTTGATGTTCTCCTGCCGGGTAACCTTCGCGTGTTTGTCGTGCGGACGCATTTCCGTTAAGTTGCACCTGGTATTTGAGATTCTGCGGCGAGATTGGCATTAGGCCAGCTTCCGTATGTATGACTATAGTGACAACAACGAAAGCCCTTTGGCTACCTCCACTACCAAATATTCCAGGTCGCTGCGGATGCCAAGTTCGAGACTCAAAATCCTGGGTTTGAATGGGCTGACTGCATAGCCGCGATGATTACCAATTATGTGAGTTCTGTGTCGAAAATCCATGTTCGTGAGTGGCTGCTGTGTTTGATCTAAAGGCTTCAAGTGTTTCATGGCCGTTGATAAGTTCGGCTCGTGGTAGCATGGGCTTGAACTCGATCGGTAACCCAGCGGGTCATGGAGATGCCATGCGCAGCAGGATGTGTGTAGCGCCTGTCTCAACATCTGAAAACCCAAAGCCGCCGGATCCGGTCGGCGGAAGAGATGCCGAAGCAAAGATGATGATAACACCACAATTGACGTCATGACAACTGTGACAAGATTACAAGAGCAACTATATTCGTGCACCCACCAACGCCGCCAAGTTTGCGAGAGTGTTGGTTCTGGCCAGAGCACTGTTGGGCTGCAGTGGTATTCCGGCTGCAAGAAGAGGCGATTTTTCAGTCGTTCTGCTTGATAACGAGATGTCGGATGGACCATGCATAAGCGCATAGTACATGGCTGTGCATGGAGGGATCGGAAAGAAAAGGGGGTTTATAGGTCTGAAAAACCCAGTCTCAGGGAATCAGTCCAAGCCCCATCAAAGCCTCGACGTTCGACGAACATCGGTTTTTGGCCGAGGTTCGCTTGGACTTCTCCGGGTTGCAGCAATTGAAAGAGGCTCTGTCAGTTGCTCTTGAACGACCATGTTTGCAGCAGTGTTGAAGCGATCGGGTCAGGGATGTCGGCTCCGTGCCGAAACGGAGTGTTGCTGGCTCCGAGCTTGAACTCGCTGTCCAGTCGTATTTGGGGACCAAGGGCTCGGCAACTCCGTAGGTAGCACTATTATCACTAGCAGTAGTAGTGGTAGTGGCAGTAGCAGTAGTAGTAGTAGTAGTAGTAGTAGTAGTAGTAGGAGTAGTAGTAGGAGTAGGAGTAGGAGTAGGGGAGTAGGAGTAGGAGTAGGAGTAGGAGTAGGAGTAGGAGTAGGAGTAGTAGTAGTAGTAGTAGCAGTAGTAGTAGTAGCAGTAGCAGTAGTAGTAGTAGTAGTAGTAGTAGTAGTAGTAGTAGTAGTAGCAGCAGTAGCAGTCGCAGTAGCAGTCGCAGTAGTAGTAGCAGTAGCAGCAGCAGTAGCAACAGTAGCAGTAGCAGCAGCAGGAGGGGGAGGAGGAGGAGCAGGAGGAGTATGTGCCATGGCGGCAGCAACAACGGCAGTTCTTCCAGTGTTCGAAACAGGAAACCGCAGAGGCCGAATAGCGTGTATCAGGTCCTGGAAGAGTAAATACTCAACGACACCATCAACAGCAATCGTGTCAATCCTGCTTTTGTTTTTGGTGGGAAAAAGTCAAACCGGAGACCCGAAACCTCGAGCTTAAGCCACCTAAGCCCAACCCGTGAATTCCCTACAGCCAACTTTTGCAGTTGCTCTACTGGGTTGCCTCGGGGACGGCAAAGCTCACGGTTGAACCGTGTCTTGGCCCTCTGTGTTAGGGCGGCGAAGCAGCTGTCATTGCATCCGCATCTCGTGTTTTTCGAACGTGGGCAGAATCCAGTAGAACCGGCAAGAAGCCTACTCAGGTTTTCTTAGCCTGTAGAAGTTTTCAGAATTCAAGTTTAGGCGTTGGCACCGATTTCCACATGCAGCTTCGCAGCTTTGGTTCGCTTTGTAATCCTCACCTGATTTGGGCGGTGTTGCCTTTTTGCTTCGACATCCGATAGCATTTTTGCCGCCCCGTATTTTGCATGTAAATATTCTGATGAGTTTAGGGTTTAGGGGTTTAGAATGAGAGTTGTGAGCTAGCCAGTTCGATGTTGCCGAACTTGAAGCTGAACTTTGGTTCACGGCGTTTGGCAGGCACACACATATGTTCACGCAGGTGGACCAACATCTATAGATCTACCCATACATGCATAATAAACTATGCACATCAGCGGCCAAAGAAGGAGGCCATGGTGAAGAAAACATGAGCTCAGTTGATGCCTTAAAGTTGATCCGAGGACTGGTTCCGCAACGTTGCTCCTGACACTTCCACGAATCTGCCCCAAGGCTGCAAAGGATGGTTTTAGGGTTTCGGGTATCCGTGGTTTTTATCCAGCCAGAGCATTTCTGCAGGAAAGTCTCCGTGTTGTTACCACCTTGCTGCTCATGCTGCGGTTCTGCTGGTCCTTTGATCTCGCTTGGTTTGTACTAACGCAAACCCAGAGACCTCATCAGGCTGTGTCCGAGTTGCGAGAGCGTAAGGTTCAAATTGAATTGATTTGCTACGAGTGGTGGAGTTTCGAGACTATAGTATAGACCGATCACAGCCATGATTTGATGGAAGGCCGCAGATTGGACCTGCCTAGAATCCTAGAGTTGCTTCACTAGCAGTGCCACACTCGAAATTCCTAGCTGCCGCTGGCAGTGATGTGTGCCTGTCATGCAACAGGCCGCATCGTAATCCGTCGCCCAAGCAAACTTCTCCTGGAGCAGCAGCCGTGCACCTGCTTACTGATTCCTGGCCCGCTTCGCCACTGCGAAGTGGAGCCTGAACCAAAAAGGCACCACTGATCTGTACGCATCGGCTAAGCCCCAAAGTTAGCTTCAACCGGACACACTCTCGCACATTTTCCATTTGGGCACCAACAATTGATGATGCAGAGTACCCCATACATGCGCATCCCGGTTTAGCGGCTCCGAAAGCATGAGAGAACAAGTCCATGATTGGGGACAGGCACGATGGAGGACCTTGCCGGGATTCTTGACACGGGGTTCAAGAGATATTGTGTGTGTGTGTGTGTTTGTGTGTCTGTGTGTGTGGGGTGAGGGAGGCAAATCGCACAGGAGGCTTTCGTTTGAGGTTGAGGAGGCCCTCCCGACAGCCGGACATCATCGCGAAGTTACCTTGTCATAAAGGAGCGGCAAGAGGTAAGACTTCCTGTGACTTCTGGTCATTTCTTCTAGTCGATGTCTGCTGTGCCAAGATAGAAGCCTGGTGATCCCAATTTAACATAGCAACGAACAGCGGTACTTGGTCGGCTTACAGCAGCAATGCGGAAAGGCCAATGCTACTTTCCAATTCTCATGCTACCGAACGAAAACTAAGATGTACCAAGTGTGGAACGAATGAGTTTACACTTCGCAACCAACACTGACATCCGGCGCCAAAGCTTCACGAGTTGCACGACTTGAGAGTGACGGGCTACGAAAAGTTGAGTGTAAGGGTTGCCAGAATTAAGGGTGGTCGGGAATTCGAAAGTTTAGGAATCAACTTTGTGGTTTCGTTGTTTTTGCTTTTTGTACGACTCTTGGAGTTTCGGCCTCCAGGGCAAAATAGGGTTCGGACTTCAGGGTTTGCATGAAGTTTCGGCTGAAGGGTAATGACTAGTGACAAGACAAGAGCCATACTGATAGCAGTGGTGACAGTAACAATCTTGTTGTCAGTATAACAGCACTACCAGATAAATCGTAGTGAGAATAGTAAAGACAACATGAGTACTATTCATCATCAGCCACACAAAAGTATGAACAACAAATGATGATGCATCCTAAACCCTAAACCCAGTGATCTTGCTGCACGACAGGTAGAAAAGAGCCCTAAAAAAAAACAATCTTGATGATGCACCCTAAATCCTGAACCCACTGATGATGATTCAGAAGCCTTCGCAGGATGCCCTTCTGCATATCGGCCCGCAAGTCCTGGATCTGGGGAACAATCGTACTGAAGACGCCGGGCCGCGTAGTTCGGCGCGCGGAGGTGAGGATTTAGAGTTAGGGGTTTAGGACTTAGAGGGTTTAGGGACTGGAAGAAGGGCTTTCTGAGGCTTTTGTAGAGTGTCATATGTCTCGACGGCGGGTTTATTCAAGGGTTTGCCAGTCTAGGGTTGTATGGTTTAGGGTCAGGGTTTGGAGTCTAGGGTTTTAGGTTGGGTGATGGTGTTTAGGGCTTTCGGTTTGGGGTAGGCGGTTTGGAATAGTGGCACGTTGCTCCGTCCTGGTATCGCTGCATGTGTAGAATGATATGTAGTCATACAGACGTTGCCGAAGGTGACGTCTGACTGGCTCAGGATGATGCGTATTCAGGGCCTTGCATCTTGGAGCTCTGGCGAGTGCAAGATTGAAGGCTTGAGACAAGGGGCTGAAGATTGAAGACGACCATGAATGAGAGTTGCTTCCTTTCACCGTTATAGGGTTATCATTGTTCTTAATGCTACAGTTCGTTAATTAGTATCAGTCTGGTTCTTCCCATTGTCACCTTCAGATGTCTTTCACTCTAAAGGCTTCCCTTTAGGCCCTGCTACCAGTACTAGCACACAAAAAATCGTAATACCGGGGTAGCTGTAGGTTTCGACGTGTCGAGTAGTTACTTTGATTGTTGACCTCTTTTTGGTGTAGAAGGGTGAGGCCAACGCCACGATTTCTCAACCTTGTGGGTCCCCCTTCCTTTGGGATGCTTGCAACAGCGATCCTTGTTGTTAGGAGGTCTGCAGTCATGATTAGAAGTGTGTCGCGTTCTTAGTAGTCAGCTTCTCTGAGGTTCGCATTTGGGAGTTACTGCAGGCTTTTTAGGTTCAATGCACACAAGCACTAATCACCCATCATTTTGCAAGCTCGCGTGGGCTTTCTGGGACAACAAGGACTACCTCATTGTGCGGGCATCTTTGATTGCGACCTGGCCGAAAGCGTTTAAACCAAGACTTTGAATCCGTAGTGTGAGCCAGAAACCCAACACTTCATTGTTCACTGGCTAGGGGCCAGGGATCTACTCAACGCTAAACCACACAAACCCTGTCAAACCAGACCCATGTCTTGGTTTCGGAGTTGGAAATGACTGCACGGTCTTAAGACATCGAGTTCCAAGCTGCAGCCAGCACATGCAAGCCTGTCCTTCGCCCCTTCCGCCTCTCCCCTCCCCAACATTGCATCGTTATCGTCACCGAGCCCCCATAGCCCTAAGCCATAAAAGCCATAAGCCCGAATCCGTAATCAACACAACATCCCTGAGCCCTGGACTGCTTTGGGCGTGTCGTGCATTGCTCAAACCCGACGAGCGAAGCACAGTCTTTAGACAATTATTTGGGTTTCTACCGAGTATTTCTACAGGGGCTTCTGTAATGCTTTTATAGAAACGCAAAAGGGTTTCGGAACGATTAGTGCGGTCCCTGCAGTTTCACTAAGTACCATCAACCGTGGGATCCTTGAAGAGCCGTAGGCAAGGCACCACCGCAATTCGCAGAACATTCCACATACGGACAATCAAGGATGGTTGACTAACTAACAACCCAGTGCTGTAGAATCCCCATATGCCTAAATGAATGCAATGGAACGACATACCAGAAATCCCGGCGAATCCAACTCAATCTGAGCCCTAAAACTCTGAGAGCACTATGGCGCAAGGAAGTCCGACCAGGAGCTTTCGAATCGCCGCGGTTGCATTACAATCTTTCCAGGCGGAACTTTTGCTGGAGTTGCGGATAGACGAGATTGACTACTCCAACAACTATTACGAGGTCCTAGTACTGCTGCTGCTACTGACGGGTGCTTGCCACAACAACATCGTTTGCTACTGCTATTACGACTACGACGGCTAGTCTACTACTACTACTACTACTACTACTACTACTACTACTACTACTACTACTACTACTACTACTACTACTACTACTACTACTACTACTGCTAGTACTACTACTCGTACTAAGTCTTTTAATAATAGTAGAAAGGTACTTACTCCTCCTCCCACTCCCAGTTCGTAGAAAGGTACATAATTACTCCTCCTCCTCCCACTCCCAGTCCTAGTCCTACCCCCTGTCCATACTTCACCAATACTTCTATTCCTACTACTACTTCCTGGCTACTCCCCCCCCCCCGAAAATGCCAGAAACCTGCGTGCCGGCTCCCCCAATTTTGGTTTGTACCTGCCCATGGACCCCCCCCCGCCCTCCCCCCGGAAATCCCGAACCCTGCGCGCCGTCTCCCCCAATATATCCTGCTCCTACTCCTACTAGTCCTACTACTACGACGAAGATGACGACGACTACTACTGGTACTGTTTCAGCGGCGGTCACGATGACGGTTTCGACGAGAACGACAGCTATCACTGCTTCTATTGCTAGGTGATGTGGTGGGTCCGCAGGTGCGTACTTACCAGAGCAGAAGGGTTTCTTTGGTAGTTTCGAAAGTCATCATGATAGTCATCATCACCACAAAAAAACAGCAGCACCGCAACACCAGCACCAGCACCGACACAGGCCGCGACATGCCGACTACACCGACCACCACCACTAATATCATAATCCTCATCATTTTCGTCACCAGCACCGGTCTCATAGTCAGCGTCTTCCATGTCATCCTCACCATCATCATCAACAACACGGCAGCCACAGCGAATTCGTAATCATGCTGATGTTGGTGACAATGATGAAGTTCATCATCATCATCGTCATCATCATCATACTCACCGCCAAAGGCATCAACACATGCCGTTGTGTTTGTCGATCGGAGCCTGAAGCTTGAGCCCTGGTGTTTGGAGACGAGAAGGTGTGTTTTGTGGTCAGAGGTACGTGTGGGTCTTACGACTTCAGAATGGAGGTTTTGCTACTTTGTGCTTTCGGGGAAAGCTTGATCTGACTTTGGCGCTGAGTCACTACTGATGAAAGCTGCTGTTGAGGGTGCTACTGTCCCTAAGATGACGACTGGAGAACAAAATCGTGTCAATCTCGCCGGCCAACATCCCTTTCTTCGATGATTTTCGAATTCTAGGTTCGGTCTTCAGCACGTACCGCATCTTTTGCGGCGGACAGTGACGATTGTTCGTGTCAGTATCTGCCTGCAGCATCAATCGAGTAATGATCAGGGTTCCCTCTTCTAATAGGACACATGAAACCCGTTGCGGATCCTCTTGAAGAGCCGAAGACTGCAGTATGCTGCCAGGTGGATCCCGGGAAAGCTTTGGGATTACCCAGAGGCCGCCTGTGTTTCGGGATAGGTCTGCGGGGGCTTTGAGACCAGGACCTGGAAGAAGAAGCCTGGTCTTTCAGGTTTCACTTTCAGGCCTTTTTGATGCACGATCTGTGACAGAGCATTTTTCGGAAGGTGCAGAATCCGAGATGAGGTCTTGGGTAGTCTGGTTGGATGACCAGATCCCTGGAGACGCAACTTGGGGTTCCAAACTCGCTAGCAGCGACAGCGCAGGAAGCTGTGGATGGCTTTGGCAGCGCATGCGCTTGGGCAGCGATCGCCACCAGGGCAGACCCAGGGTCTGCAGGCGTGGACAATAAGTCAGGAATTCCACCGAACTGCTAAGCCCCTTATTGTCTTCGTCTGCTTCATATTTCAAGAGACTGTCATATCATCAAAGTACAGGCGAGTTGCCTCTAGTTTATGTGTCCTTACACCTTAGCAACTGTTCTGGCAGGGCCTTGCTTGCATATCAGCCGGTAACAAAATCAGATGGAGAGAAGGAAACAGGCACATAGTTTTTTCTTTCCGTGTATCATGAACGTATTTCACAGTGTAATTACCCGGTAGGTTAACTACAAGCAACTACACTGGCTTCTGTTCACCTCGAACTGTATGGCCGTAAGGTGACTGACTCATTCCATTAAGTTCTTAGTCTTGAGTATCATATGTTGGAACTGAGCATGCACTCGAGCCGTTGCTGTGGTGCTTCTCTACGGTAAGTAAATATAGATGCCCAATTGCCATGGCATTTGGGGACTGTGTGCAACTGCCGTGGCATTCTGGCATTGTCGTTACTTGTGCCAAGTGATCGTCATAGCATGAGATGCCTTCAACGATCGACCTCACCTGCTTGCATTTGAACGATCGATGCCAGGTTACCGTTTTCACGAGATCTTTGGGCGTGTGCTTTGCAGCCCCTCTGTCTACTCGGACCCCCAGGTGCCCGGGGAAGTTGACGGAAACATGTTCGCACACTTCCGGTGAACGTGTTAGGGTTGGAATTTCACGGATTTTGTTGCATGTCTCTGCGGGTCATCTCGCGGATGTTTTGAAGACTCTAGTCTCCCTCTAAAAAGAAGACACCTCCCTCTAAACTGAAGACACGGGTGCAGCGTCGGCCGACAACTCCGCACGGCAGAAAAGTAAACAAATCTGCACAAAGCTTGTCCACAAAGGCATTGTTAAAACACACGGTATGTTGACTCGTGGAAGACACGAACCCTAATGCAGACGCACATTACGGCCATAGACCTCAGGGTTTCATGACGCGACATATCCAAAAGCAATGGGCTGTGACCCGAAATGACCTTAGCCTGTGTTCGAAACTCGACGTCCTCAGGGCAGATCCTACTTTGGACAACCCCCGCTTAGTAACGCCGCAGCTGCATGGACGGCAGGATTTTACCGGGGCTGCTGCCGGCCTGAAGATCTTTGTGCAGCCGCGGCCAGCTTGAATTGCAGGTTGCACTCGAGTTCAAAGTAGTGAGCAGACATTTGGAGGGTTTCGATGAAAGACGAGGGGCTTGCAGTTATTCCGAATCCACGAAGCTGCGGGATCGATGCGAGGGCGGCTGATTTCTCCATCGATAGCGAAGCTTGGGCGAGAGATTTGTTGTTTTATCGATCGACAGATCTTTATGCTAGTATCATTTACTTGGTGATCTTGGCAGCGATGCTGTTACTTGGATATATCGCTCGGCCCGTGGCACACCTTGGCCATTTCCAAGAAGTGAGACCATAATCCAAAAGCAATCCACAGCTGTTCCGCGACAGCGGTGGTCTGTGTGCGTCGTGTGCTGCCTTGCGCACACGGGCCTGGAGCGAATGAACCCAAACTCAGCAGCCAAGGCATTGGTGGTTACAATCCATCCATTATGTGCTTCGTTTTGCTGCAGTCAGCTAGACAACTCGAATAACATAGTCACATCAGACGTAGACGGGTACACAGTGCTTTGACAGGCAACCATACGGAAAGCGTTACAAAAAGGCACTGAAACGACTGCTTCGACAAGGCATCGATAGTTCCTTCGGTTCCCAGCACATTTTCGAACTCCGAAGCTCGGACATGTTGAGCCCAAACCCCTACATCTCAAGCTTCAAGTTGCTACTCCAAACCCTTACAGCCTCCAAACGTCTAAGCTTCAATTCCATAAACCTCAAACCCCTTCCATTAAACTAGTCCTCAAACAACCCTAAACCCCAAGCCCAAATACAAAATGACCCTGAACTCTAAGCCCCTAAGATCTCCGCTTCTTCGGCCGAGGCTGACAAGCTCATTGACTGCAGACCGAACCTTTGCCTTAAGACTTTAGGGCTCACGTCTTAGGGCTCGTGATACCTAAATCCACTTGAGGGTTCTAGGTCCTCTAAGCACTAGGAAAACATCCGAATGGCTCGGCCCGAGCCCTGCTAAAAGGTCATTTCGGGTTTAGGGAAGCCCTGTAGCTGAGGGTTTCTTGGGTGTGCGTGCCTGCGCAGGGACGCCAGAGATAGTGCAATCGTTTTTCTGGTGTAGTAGAAGGACAGCGGCCGATTTTGTAGGATAGGGTCCACATTGTTTGGGAGGTTCTTACTCTGTCAGCTCATGGTTGTAGATCGCCAGCGTTCAGCTGCAAACCTTAGATGCCAGAGCTCGCATTTCTGAACTGAGACCGGAGTTCGTTTCAGAGCGTTGTGTGCTTTTGGTTTGTTACCGTGTGTTTCTGCCCTCCGTGGGTCAGGCGAGATATCGGATCCGGATTCGCATGCACTGTTGTGCATACCTATGTAACCATGGAACGTTTGCCGACAGCTCGGAAACAAAGTATCCACCAGCTGACCTGAGCCAGAACGTGAGCCGTTACTTAGGAGCCGTGGTGGCAAGTTTGGTACGTCTGGCGCACAACTTCTCTTGTGATGCTGGGTTGCTTTGGCTGAACCCGAAACCCTACGACCCTAAAGCCCTACTAGAGCCCTACAGTGCCTACAGTTCATAAATAACGGAGCGAATGTAGGACCTGCATAATTGCATGATTGATGTAAAAAAGAACCAGTGTTTTTCTAGAACCAATGATTCAGGCATTTCTGCATACGTCGCTTGCAGTTGCAGGTAGTAGCTTGAAGCTTCAAAGCCGGGGCATTTCTTTTAGAGATATCTTCCTGCGGACTTGGGGTAGAACCCGATCCACCTAAACCCTAAACCATAGGCCCTAAACGGTCGATGCTCTCAGCTTTGCAACAGTTTAGGTTCTTCCTCTGTGACAAGACCAGCTGGGAAGGCGAATGGTCTGCATGGCGGCAACACGCTGGACAGCACGGGAAGGGTTCTATATAATGGGATCAAAATAAAAGGATTCGGGGAGTTAAAGACCCAAGCCGCAATGCCCAAGATGTCCAAGTTGTGAACCGTGACCCTTTGTTGGACATCTACGTACTCGAAGCGGTACTGTAGCATTGGATCTTCACTTGTCAACGCTCACTATAAGAAGTCACCAGAACTTGCATTTTCTGGGTGGCTTCAGCGATTGTTGTTGCATCTTTGGGGTCGAGTATCGAGAAGGTCCAGAGTTCAGGGGTTTAAGGCCACAAAATAAATAGGACTTGCAAAAGGAACCTGGGGAGCCTTCAAAACCTTCACGTGGCTACGCTTAGACCTGAGAGTCTTGGAACACCGAAAGTTTGAGCGAGAAACTGCTGTACCTGGGGCGGGGGAATACTCTTCAAAAGTATCTTGTCATGATCGCCAATGGTGTTGTTACACCATGCTAAGTACCCTAACACCCTGCTCTCTTTGTTAAGCCCCTCATCTCAGACAACTAGTTACTTGTTGCTGCATGATGTTGTTTTGACCAACACATTCGGAGACCTGAATGTGCTGCCGTAGTGCATGGGTCCCTAGAATACGAAACCTACTCCTCGGGGTTGATCTAAGGGTGCGCTTTCTGAACCACTTTCTTTCTGAAACTCCCACATTATCACTCATATAACATAGGGGTCGGAATAATTAGCAACCATATCCCCCCACAGCCCCTAGATAGTCTTAATTATACTTTGCTGCCAAGTCCCCTATAGTACTGTTAGCCCGACATTGTTTTACTTACATATGCCGCATTATTCAAGTCTTCTTGCATATATACATATATACACACGCATCTTTCGTTGCGGGTATAAAGGTGTGAGTACATATATATATATATATATATATATATAATCACACATATATGTATGTATAGGCATATTCACATTCATACATATAGATATCTTTATGTATGGTTCCATCTATCTATAACTTGCAAATATGTACAGATGCGATATTACGACATTTATGTTTTCATCATGTTCTACTAAGTTGGTTTGCAGTGTATTGCATTGTCAGTATTACGCTATAGCACATCATATCATATCTTATGGCCTTTTGCATCATAGCATATTATATTACAGTGTATTCGTTGTTTTACTAGCTGATGTGTTATCATATTATGCTCTACTGTATCATGACCTGTTCTATCATATTCGATTTTACGTAATTGTTTTTGGTCTGCATTTCATTGCGTTGTATTGTTTGATTTTATCTCATGTTATGTATATTCACATGCGTTTAAATTCATCGGTAGAGTACGGACAGAGGAGAAGTCACGCTTCTGCAGAAGTTTTTGACCGCCCCTGCGGAAGTCCTCGTTGAGTCTTTCGAAGAAGCAGAGACTCGGACTGTGTGTTCGCTGTTTGGGTGTTGGGTTTAAGGCTTGTGGTGTGGTCGCTTTTCAAGTTTGTGCTGCGCTGCTGTAGCACGTACGACCAGCTCACGGTAGTTTCTGACGGTTCGAGGAAGTGGCATGCAAGGGTTCTGTAACGAGTTCTTCCCTGACCAGCATAACATATTGTATCGCACGAGCTGGCAACTGGCACCGTCACCAGAACCCTTTAAACATTAAATTCAGCGCAAACCTCACATCCCAGTTTAACAGAGGTGGGGCAAGTCCGTCAAGCGAAAGCCCGATCAAAACCGTGATCTATACTGCCTCGCTATCTCGTCATGTGTCGCTGAAATGCTTTCGCCGCTCTTTTTCAAGGACCTTATCGTGGTGCCGGGCTTGTCGGCATCCCAGTTTTGGCCACTCCAACAATCCAAAGGTATGAGACTTAACAAGCAGCAGCTTGTGACGGTTGTCGCAAGCCAATGCCTGCCCGACTTCTACAGTAGCTTACCCAGGCTTGACTTAAATAGACATGGCTTTCAAAGAAGGTTCTGTATGCATGCAAGCACATTCAGGGAAACGAGCAAGGGAGCTATCTATCATCTGTTTATTTCTCTATCTATCTATGTATCTATCTGTCTTCCTATCTAGCCACCGACCTACCTTCCTGCCTACCTAGGGCTATCTACGGTGGGTCGTGACGGGTCCATGGACTTTGGGGTGGTGTTGTCAATGCTTTTTGTCATGGCATTGGGAGCGAGTGTAGGCGGTGGTGACAGTCGTGGTGTGATGGTGGCTGCGGCAACGATGATGATCATCATTATCATCGGCGTCATGGTTTTCATCCTTATGAACATGATGTGGAGCCGGAGTGGAGGAGCAGGGCCACAATCAGACCGACGAGCTAGGCCGTGAAAAGTTGAATCATGATGGAGAGGATGCAGATGATGGTGCTAATCTTTGTCTGATGACAGCGGCGACCATGATGACGATCAGGATGACAATGATGGCATCGCTGCAAAAAGCCTTTCTGCACTCTTCACAGCGCGGCCGAGGTTCCAGTTCGCAAGCTCGGGGCACATGTTCCAAAAGGCTCCGGACGGGTGCGGACGTTGAGACTTCGGATTTTTGCTCTCTTCTCCTTGTAGTGAACCTCTTTGACCGAACCCTCTCAATCAATGTTGTATGACACCAGTCCTCCCCAAACCCTAAACCGAAGCAGATAATCCACAATCATGTCTAACCCAGGTTTTCATCGGTTTAGGCCACGGCTTCCGAACTTCAGAAAGGAAATGCGCGTCGCATAGCACATTTCAGGGTTTAGGAGCCGCCATGCCGCTGAATGCTGTGTTCTTCTTCTGAGCCACGAATGATGAGACTTATTGTGATGGGGGCGCCATGGTTTGTTGTGGACTTCGGGTTTTTGTCCCCAGGCCGTAGAGTAGCTTTTCACCTTTCAGACGACTAAAGGACCCTGGTTAAACAGGTCAGGTGGGGCAGCATCAGTAAGATCAATCACAAACCCTAAACTCCTCAACGCCAAACCCTAACCGTAAATCCCAAACGCTGAATCCTAGACATTACTCTGAAAAAGGAGCCCTGAACTTTGCGAGCACTCCATACGAGCTCGACATTCTGGCCGAAATGTGAAAAAAAACACATGATGATTTTCAACCAACTCAGCTTCGAAAGTTGTACTATTACTTGCCCAATCAGCCGGTTTCGGGCTTCAGAATTGAGTGGCCCGTGGCACAGAGCCCTAAACCTGAAAACCCTGTCTCTTCAACCAAAACCCCAAACCCTGAGCCCCGAACGGCCCAAACCGCCTTCAGTTGGTTCGAAGATGCCCCAGGGACTTTGCCGAGCTCCCTGGCAAAGTTCAAGCTTGCGGGGTGGTGAGGGAGACGTTTGGGCCGAATATGATGGCACGGGACAGGATTTTCGGGTTGCCTGCGTCTCGCAGTGTTCATCACCGCTGCATGTTTCGGCTTCTGTGAAACTTCGTCATGGACAGCTGCATAGTATCCAAGGGAGCTGGAGCACCTCAACTTTATGGATCCGACGCAGACTCCGCACCTCTTCGTCTTCGCGGACCACATGACGCTTGTTTACAAGTGGCCCAGAGTAGACCATCACAGGGACCTCATGGCTTTTGTTGGCTTTCAGTACGGTAATTAATATCCCAACTCAGACGTTAGATATGACCTCATGGTTTATCATTGCCTTACTGATTCAGGGTCTGGTGCCTGGGATGTTCGATTCAGTCTTACTCACGGGGGCAACTCCGGTGCATGACACGTGGTATCATCAGAAATGGAGCGCCTCTGCCTTTGCAAGAATGTTCGGTGGTTGGTACTAGGAGGGCTAAACGCTCAGGCCCAGGAAGCCCATCATTTCTTGAAGACCCCTTTTCTTCTTGCTGGCCCGTGTAGTTCTCAACCCTTGGAGCCGAAAAGTTCCAAGTCAGACACACCAGACGCTACACTCCCTAAACCCTAAACCCTAAAGCCCTATGAACCCTAAAGCCCTATGAGCCCTAAAGCCCTACAAACCCTAAACCCTAAAGCCCTATAAACCCTAAAGCCTTATAAACCCTAAACCCTAAAGCCCTATAAACCCTAAAGCCCTATAAACCCTAAAGCCCTATAAACCCTAAAGCCCTATAAACCCTACAAACCCTAAAGCCCTACAAACCCTAAAGCCCTATAAACCCTAAAGCCCTATAAACCCTAAACCCTAAAGCCCTATAAACCCTAAAGCCCTATAAACCCTAAAGCCCTATAAACCCTAAACCCTAAAGCCCTATAAACCCTAAAGCCCTATAAACCCTAAACCCTAAAGCCCTACAAACCCTAAAGCCCTATAAACCCCAAAGCCCTATAAGCCCTACAAACCCTAAAGCCCTGTAAACCCTAAAGCCCTATAAACCCTAAAGCCCTATAAGCCCTATAAACCCTAAAGCCTTATAAACCCTAAAGCCCTATAAACCCTAAAGCCCTATAAACCCTAAAGCCCTACAAACCCTAAAGCCCTATAAACCCTAAACCCTAAAGCCCTACAAACCCTAAAGCCCTATAAACCCTAAAGCCCTATAAACCCTAAACCCTAAAGCCCTATAAACCCTAAAGCCCTATAAACCCTAAAGCCTTATAAACCCTAAAGCCCTATAAACCCTTAACCCTAAAGCCCTATAAACTCTAAACCCTAAAGCCCTATAAACCCTAAAGCCTTATAAACCCTAAACCCTAAAGCCCTGTAAACCCTAAACCCTAAAGCCCTATAAACCCTAAAGCCCTATAAACCCTAAAGCCCTGTAAACCCTTAAGCCCTATAAACCCTAAAGCCCTATAAACCCTAAAGCCCTATAAACCCTAAACCCTAAAGCCCTATAAACCCTAAAGCCTTACAAACCCTAAACCCTAAACCCTACCACGAAACCCAGCGCCTCCAGACTGGAGAACCCTAAACCCTAACCCGCCCTAACCGGCCCCAACCCTAAACCCTCAAGCAAAAGGGCATTCAAAAAGCGACCTCAATTACGGCCGAAACCCCAGCCCTAAACCCCAAACCCCAGCCAGTGAAGCCTTTCAAAGCGGCCTTTCCAAGGAACAACCTCAGGCTCAGAGCGACCACTGAGCTGAGAGTCTGCGCTACTATATGCTTTCTATAAGCACTTGGGGGAGTTTCGGAAAGTTTGGGTGCCCTATGTGCGGTCCTGATACTTCGGATCGTATTCTCTAGGACTCTAGGTTTCTATGCGGGGGTTCCTTGTTAGGGGTCAAAGGACGATAGTGGCTACTTTCGGTTATTCTAAACTAGGGTGGAGGCCCTTCTAAAAAACATTCTTACTTACACCAATCTCTATGCTAAGATTCCCTACTAATTTTGAGAGTACTAGGGTTGAAGGCTTGGGGGATGGGCGTGTTGAGTTCGGGGTCCTGGGTCAACCCTATGATGGGTTTCTAGCATCGAACAGATGGTGGTGATAATGGTACTGATCTGTTGCGATAATGGATCTCATTCTGTTGATGGAGCGCTCTTGTGGATCTGTTCGGTTCAGGAGTTCGGGGTATCGGTTCAGCTTTGGGAGTATTGTTTGCTCTGAGTCTCATACTCTCCGACAACAGCCGTCTTTTTTTGCGAGAATCAATCCCCCTCTTGTCGAGTTGCTGCCTAGTCTTAGCCGCAGCTGGTGTATACTGCAGCCCGGAACCCTCCATCGAAACATACGAACGCAAGAGTCAGGACCTGGATAATCACCATGCTTCGGGTTCTTACAACATGTATATGAATATGTAGGTATGTATAGATTGCCATATTCATACGTGTGTTTGCTGTATCGTTATTCATGTTTTTTGCATCATGCTGTCTATGTTTATATATAGTCCCGTAGCAGATAGATACTAGAATGTACTTCTGGCCCATGATGTCACTGAGCTCCTGTGGGCATTTGCGAACGAGCTCGCAGGGAGAACGATCCTGGGGGCCTCGGATGTTACATCACCCGACATCCCGATGCTCGGCCAGTGGAACTATAATGTGCAATATACAATCTAAAGTTCAGTATAAAATTTGTAACACAGACACATCTATGTGTATGTATACATGTATGTGTGTATGTAAGTATGTAAGTATGTATGTATGTATGTATGTATGTATGTATGTATGTATGTGCGTATGTATGCATGCATGTATGTATGCATGTAGGCAGGTCAAGGAATCAGGAAGATATCCATATACACAAAATACACGAATGGCTTCTGAATGGAATGTCAGGTTTCGGAAGTGTCATAAGTGATAGGGAATGAAGACGGGAGGTAGTATGGCCAAGGTGAACAAGAGTTTGTATCGTGGTGCAAGCTCGTTACTTGTGGCTGCAAGGCTTCATGCCTTTAGGTGCCGTGGTCAGATTCACCTCAATCGATTTGCCTTCAGGACAACATCTTCGTCTCGCTTGGGACGGAGCTGTCGTCGCCAAACCACATCACCATGTGCATGCCCTAGTTGGCTTGCGGGTTCCGGGATTCTGCCTGATCGAGACAACATGAGTGGTTGTTTTATCAGTGCCCGCGAAGTTTTGGGCTGAACATCCTCCTCTCCCAGCCCAACCCCGGACACGTGGCCTTTGACTGGAAAGGATACCCAGGACGGGGTTCATCTGGGCTACATGAGGGCAACATCAAGAATATGCAGCATGCGCAGTAACTCCTCATTGATGCAGGCCGCCGGTGGTAACGGAAGCAGAGCTCCAACCCTGGAGCTCAACTGCAGAGACGACCAGAGAGACCTTCCTACTGTACACAGCACCTTGGCGTTTGGTTTCAAGAATATCAGGGCTCCCAATGATTGACATACAGGTTTGAATGGTCAATAACCCCAGTCCCGTTTACATGGGCCCGAATATCAGGCATTGGGCAAGTTGCCGATCCCAACTCCACGTTCAGATCAGGCTCTGCAATAATTCTCTCAAAACTATACAGCCCTTTACAGTACCCAAGCATGACCCTCTAAACTCAGAGATGGGACTCGCAGATTTAAAAAGGCAGGTTCAGTTCAAGCCGTAAGTTCGACTACGTAGTTCAGTTAGACCATGAGTCATTGAGCATCTAGGTCTCCCATTAGCACCCTTTTGCGGGTACCGGGGAACCCAGACATAGTGTCTCCTTGATCCTCAGAAGGCCAATCGTAGCTTGCGCCGAAGAAGTCCATAAGTCACGAACTCATCTTGAATGAGGGTTGGGTCGCTTGGACTCCCATGGGTACCCGTTGTTTGCGGTTTCTCTGCATATTCCCGAGCTTTCTCTGCACCCCGAGGAGAATCTTGATTGCTGCCATCCGGTGCGAAGGCATTTGTATGAGACCTGTCGGCAGATTGTTCACGAATCCACTCGCTCATAATTGTATGCAGGCATAGCATCTGAAGCCAAGTAGAAACCAAGACACATATGCGCTGGGCGGACATCCTATAAGCAGCCTCGCAGACGCTGTGGTTATGTCAACCGGCCTCCCAAGTTTGTGCACCTTGGTTTGTATATGCTCAGACTAGTTTGCCCTACAGCCTCAAAACTGTGTTAAAACATCGATCTGGCTGGGTGTGACACAGGGCTTTGGTGTCTAGTACGGCTCCTGCACAAGTCGAGGTCTGGCATGTGTTCACATGCAGCTCTGATCGTGCAATGGTTCGGCTTTGCACGCTTTTTGAGGATGTCTTGGTCAGCGACATTGGCCAAGCTTTCTGCAACTCCCGGTGCCTTGGCCAACCAAAACTTTCTCCCAAGCCCAGAACCCTAACCGCCCGGAAATATACATACCATAATTGCACCTGCTACTCTATTGTGAATGCAACCAACCTTTCGTGGTTCTCTGGAGGTTTTCTAGATCACTGGACAGTGCTATCACTACTACTACTACTACTACTACTACTACTACTACTACTACTACTACTACTACTACTACTACTACTACTACTACTACTACTGCTACTGCTACTGCTACTACTACTACTACTACTACTACTACTACTACTACTACTACTACTACTAACTACTACTACTACTACTACTACTACTACTACTACTACTACTACTACTACTACTACTACTACTACTACTACTACTACTACTACTACTACTACTACTACTACTACTACTACTACTACTACTACTACTAACTACTAACTACTTACTACTCACTACTTACTACTTACTACTTACTACTTACTACTTACTACTTCCTACTTCCTACTTCCTACTTCCTACTTCCTACTTCCTACTTCCTACTTCCTACTTCCTACTTCCTACTTCCTACTTCCTACTTACTACTTACTACTTACTACTTACTACTTACTTACTACTTACTACTTACTACTTACTACTTACTACTTACTACTTACTACTTACTACTTACTACTACTACTACTACTACTACTACTACTACTACTACTACTACTACTACTACTACTACTACTACTACTACTACTACTACTACTACTCCTGCTGCTACTACTACTACTACTACTCCTACTACTACTACTACTACTACTACTACTACCACTACTACTTCGACGACGACGACGACGACGACGACCACAACGACAACCACACTGCTACCGCTGTATACCTGCTACGACCGCTACCTTTAGTGCCTCTTTCCGTAGCTATTGTGCCCGCTACAGCTATGACAGCAAAGACGACAGCGGCGAAAGCAACGATGACAGCGACGGCTTCTATGACTGCCACTGCTCTGCCACAGCCTACAAATGCAGCTACAGCTACTATTACGGCTGCAGTTCCGCTTGCGGCTTGCACCTGCATATTGAGGCATGCGATGTGTTTATGTGTGTACCCGTTTGCGTTCGGCCTTTGGACTCCAAACCTTTGAGACGACAATACCCCTAACTCACACTCTAAGGGCTTACAGACTACTACTATACCATATTTCAGTTCAGGTGCATCGTGGAAACAATCTCGCAAGCGCAGTCTGCAGCCAAGGCAGATCTTTGGCTGCATGTATGACTGTTGAGTGCTGTCGTCTGGGTATAGCCTAGGATTAAGAATTTCTGAAGCCGGGCCGATGTGGTTTGCATGCATGAAGATCGACCGCCAATGTTCTTCATTTCTTCCAGTCAAATTTTCAAAAACGGGTACAGGCTATAACCTGTCAGATGCGTTTTTGCGAAAACTTATGGCTTTAAACCGGCTTCCATCCCGGGCCGGGCCAACTATCATGCTGACCCGAATCCCAACACTTATGTTCAATCGTGGAGAATCTAGGGCCTCCCAAACTACTGCCGAGAACTCCTCCTCCAAGCTTCAGTGGTAGTACAATGTTGCGAATCGTACGACTCGTAATGGTACTTCGGCGGTCGGCTGGATGATTGGATTCTGAACGGATTGCCAGTCCTCACTTCGACCGAACAGAAAGGAGCCATAAACCACACACCCTGCAGCCAGAAGGCCATTTAATCGAACGCGGCCGAAACACCAATCACAGAATGTTCTCAAGGCTTTCTGCTCTATGACGCTATGAGTGTTTGTCCTCGTTGTCGCTACAACGAAGCCACAGCAAGTGACGCTTGCTGGGCCCTGAACCCAAGCCCTGACTCAGGGAGGCGTGGATCAGACCAGGGCGATGCAGCACTCAGTTTTTTGCCCGCTGGGCCCCGGGGAAGTTCCCCACCGGCCTCTTGCCAGAAGCATCAGCATGCAGAAGGCAGGGGTAATGTTGGATGGTCTATCCTTGATTGTGTGGGGTTCAGGCTTGGAATTCAGGGTCTCGCTCGTGGTTCGATTTAAGGCTAGTGTCAGGGCCATTATTAGCAACGTCAAGAGGTACAGAATCAGTATTAATTCCAGTAGAATACATAGCATGCTTCCAAACCCTGTCCTAATCCTTCCCAGACTCGAACGCTCGCACATCATTGCATCTAGCTAAGTAAGTATACATCTGAAGGCTGCATCGTTCTTTGCGTACCAGAAAGAAACGAGTAGGGGCTGTTCGACACACGGCCTTCTCGCGTAACCCGCTTGACGATTGGAACACACTGGTATTAAATTTATTAAATATTGAATCTCCCAGACCGAATCGACTTCAACACATCAAAAACTGTATCAAACCCAAGGCCGCAAAACTCGCCATTCCGTCTCCTTTTAACTGCTGAGGCATAAGTTCTACAAAGCCTTTTGTCGGCACTTTGGGCCCTTGTGTTTGGGGTCATTTGCGGATGATGTTGGGTGTTTCGACTGTTTTGGGTTTAGGTAGCTGAGAGCTTTGTTTCAGGGTCCAACTAGTTCTTCGTGACGGGATGGATTCGCATTGGGTCTTGGATATGGGAGGCTTGCAGCCGCTGCTCGTCAGTAATTAACATGTCTACACGCAGTTGTACCAAGCCCTGCAACCTCATTCTGAGTCTTATTCCTGCGGCAGTTTTTGCTGAGTTCCAATACATAACAATGTCACAACAACCAACCCCTGAGAAGCAAGATCCAAGGACTCTATAGACCCTCCTCGCTAATCATACAGACAGAGCGCTCGCCCTTCACCGCCAGGCATGTCTCTCTGGATGGATCTTCTGGAGCTATAGGACGAAGTGTTGTATCGCAGACTCGAGCAATACAGTTCCGGCAAATTCCCATGCTTACAGGTTGCTGTTGTAGTGATCTGCCCTGCCGGCCATACTGTTCAGTTTGTTCAATCTTTTGAATGGCATTCGCGTTTAGGGTGGATATGTTCAAGCCTTGACTCAGGCTATCTTAGCCGGCTGCATTCCGGTGCTCTTCGACTTTCCTTCGTACTTCCCAAAGCAAAGGCGCCGGGGTACAGGGGTGAAAGAGTAGAGAGACAGTAGAGAGAGAGAGAGAGAGAGAGAGAGAGACCGACAGAGAGAGAGAGAGAGAGAGAGGGACACCGTACTCTGCCGACTTGCCCTGCAACCCCGACGATTTGCCACACCCTGAAGTTTTCTCGGCCCTGCAGAAAGTAGGAAAACAGAGGAGAGAAAGAGACAGTAGCAGCAGCACTGTCGGTATTGAGTAGAAGTAGTGGCAGGTCAGCTGCAGGCAGTCCCAGTCAACTTAGCCGACTATAGGCACCTCTCGGCATTCGGCTCTCTTTTAGTTGCAGACTTAGGGTCAGAAGCTGTTGCTCGCATGGTTAGTCTGTGAACTGCTGGAATCTTCTTGTGTTCAGTAGTCGTTGCAGCCATAGCGACCCTCTGTGCTATTCCGCCCCTCCCTGGCCTCTGAGCCACGAAAACTTGAACACATGTCCCTTTGCCAGGAGTTGGTGGAAAGAGTTCGGATCTCCTTTCCAACTGTCTCTACCATTTTTCGAGGTGCTTGGGTTCTGGAAGCTTCGGGATCTGAAACAGCAAGCACAGATGAGGTTGCAGATCAGATTGCTGGGTTTGGGGTTTTGAGATGTTTGGCATGTGCATTCTCTGCCTGGTTTCTTGAACCGTTTTTCGTTGATAAGCTCAATCAGGTTTGCCCTAACCGGGTTCTCACAGCTATACCTGGCTATAGTCGCGGTGTTCACAGTTACCACTTGCGGCTGTTGGGTTTCGGGTGTAAACCATACGAGCGGCCCGTGACGTTGTCTAGGTTGCTGGGCCGCCAACGCGACCGAAGCCTGAGCATGTCAGCTGAGCAACACGAGAGTCTCAGTTGTTTATTCTTGTTCATATAAGACCACCCAAGAGAATCTAAAAGACTATTATGGTTCTAGGGGGGGGTATAGACACATGCACGGACACGTGCTAGGGTCATAAGGCATGCCTGCACTGAAGCAGCAAGGCAGTATTCTACCGGGGGGGGGGGGGGGGGGGGGGGGGGGGGGGGGGGGGGGGGCAGGGCGGACTCAATTCACTGCTCCTTTCGAAGACCCTTGAGCTCTACACCAGGAAAGCCCTCACCTGCCCCAGACCCCACATCCTTTATATATGTTGACGGCTCGTGCAGGTTATTCCCTACACAGACTTTGCCAGGGCCCTGGTTTCATTGAAAGGGTCCTCTCATGCACGTTTCTCAGCTCCATGCCACGTGAATGTGGGGGGAGTTTGCCTTGCCCTTGTGGTTAGGCTGCACCCAAGCCCCACAAGGTTTGCGGTGTCGTTTCAAGCGCAGTCTCGACATGAGTTGAAATCGGAAGCATCGCGTTCCCCAAGCGCATGACTTCACCCAGATGAAAGGATTATGTAGCTCATGCGACTTGCGTGGATCCCGTTCCTTACTGTGACTTATGTTCGGGTCGCAGTCGGAACATCGAGTGATTACAAGTGGAGGGGATTACCAATCTTCCGTTCAAGCGCACTGCGGTGGAATCTGCTGCGAAAGCATCAGGCCACCAAGCTTTCATTTTGCTTGAACAAAGGTCGTGACGGTACCATGCACCGACAACTACACGCAGTCCTCGCTCGACATGCTCTGGAAGATCCGTGCCATGTCATCCGAGGACCCTCTCTTGGCACTGCTCCAGGGGCTCAGGAGTTCCATAATTTCGGTTTCGGTTCCTCGGAGCTCAGTGCAGGGTTCCGATCGTAGGGATCGCATTGAGCGAATCTTTTGGGCTCGGGTTTGGTCTCTTAGACCTCCTTTGTCACGGCATCTCCTCCATTACTATGATCCTAATAATAACAGCGACAGCGCTGACTCGAGCTTTTGCACCCTAAAACAAACAACAGCAACAGCGACATTATCATCGACGGCAACCCAAACACCGACAGTAACAAAAGCAGAGGTAGCAGTAACAAGGACCGCGGTGGCACCGGGAGCAGCAATAACATGCAGTAGCTTGACTAGAAGCCCACCACCGGCCTCGACAACGACATCGAACATCTTCATCGGTTTGGGCGACGGCTGAACAGCATCACAATTAAGGCACCAGGAACAACAGCAACACCAGCAGCAATATGCAATGAGCAGCAGTATCAAGAACGAGCAACCCTTAACCCTAGCCCCTAAACCACAAAAAACCTAAACCCTATAACCAAATACCCTGAATGGGAGGAGATCAAACGGCGACAAGATGCTATGCGGAAGTGGAGTCACGTCTTGGCCTTCCGCTGGGATGGTTCTGGGCCAGATGCCTTCACTGTTGCTGGGCTCGATTCTTGCTATAAGTAAGATTCAGAGCTATGTAATAAAGATATTATGTTATTATATCAATTATATCATTATATTATGTTGTTGTACCATTAGATGAACATATGTTTGTATATTGTTGTATTATTAAGGCTTCCCCAGCGATCCCTCCACCGCATGAGACTGCGGGAGCCTCACCAGGCATATCCGCATCGCCCTGGCCCAGGGCAGGGTGGTGTTTGTGATGCAAAGCCACCACAACGACTGGCTTCAAGCGTTTTGGTAGTCCCTGTTTTCGAGAAAGTAATGGTGAGTCATGTCCCTGACAACAACACCATTTGCAGAAATGCGTTATACTGTAGTGAAACCCTCTGCCGATGGTTCTTGTCCTGCATGCGGGATTTGCTTGAAGCGGGCTGCATCAACCACACTTCCTGATGTGTCCACTGGACGTTGCTTGCCAACCGCTGGTTGTTCAGACAGGATCATATTTTCCTATAGTCTCCTTATGAATTATCGTTTGTTTTTGTTCATAAAAAACCCAAGAGTTAAAAGTACTATCTTTATTATGGTTCTAAGGGGGTATTGCTTTCATTGTTTGAGATTTCTTCGAAGCCGGATGGTGCAGCTGCACAGACGCGGAATCGGGCCGCTTCGGACTGTAAGTGCCGTGCAGCAGTCATTTGGAAGCTTGCATTTTCAATCCTATGTCCGAGGTTCTTCCGCAGCTCGAAATCCACCGTTTTGGTTGAGACTTTGTGGTTCGTATGGCTTGAGGCATTTTGCTGACAGCTGAGGCTCTCATGCAGCAGATCGGAGTGATCTGGTCAAGAATCAAGCACCGCCAGAAAAAAAAAGGCGTTACAGACTGCCTGGGTACCTTACCTCAGCCCCAGATGCACTCGATTCGCGGTGAGTCCGTTTTTGTCAAGGAGCTTCCGCTACTGGCGAAGATGATGGTGACGGAGATGACAGCTCATGATTGTTAGGCTGATGCTGATGCTGGTGGTGTTGCTGATGCTGCTGATGCTGCTGATGGCGACGATGTCGATGAGATTCGTTGTCGTCCTGGCCTCATTGTGGCTCTCCCTACCGATGTGACGGTCCTTCCTTTTATCCGTTTTTACACTGCGAGGCCAAGACAGGTGGCTGCCTATACAGTGTATATGTTTTGTGTATGTCGCTTTGTCTTGTGTTGTTCGGGTTTGCATGCTTAAGTACCTTGAGTGTTATGTCTGTCCTGCGTTTTGATCCTGAAGACATCGATGCTCGCCCTGTGTAGCCACGAAGGCTTTAAGCACAAGCGTGCAGACAACTGGAGATGAAATGCTCTTCCAAGTTCTGTCGCCGCAGCGCAGTGATGCGTGCTCTAACTCTACACATCCGTCAAGCCATCATCCTGAAGCATCTGCACTGCTTTTACAGTCTAGCTGACCCTGAAACTGAACTGCCTAAGCCCTGAGTCGACAGGATTCTGGGAAAGGACGACTGTTCCCGTAGGCTTTGTTCCCGAGGCCTAGAATCTAGCCTTTACATCGGCTTTAGCGACACTTTCAGGGTTTCCGGCAGAGCGAGCTGGAAGGCCGCTGGAAAGTCAGCAGAGACCCAAAGCTCAAATCACAGACTGCCCTGTCTGAACCTGCAGAACCGACACCCTATCCGCTAAACCCTAACCCTCCTAAACTTCATCCTTCTCTAGCCGAAGCCCTAAACCCCAAAGCCCAAATCTCCCCCCTAACCCTGAACCTGAAACACCCGGGATCTCGTCATGATGCTGGTGTCTCGACGCCGGTGCCAGCGATGCCACGCCTCGTGTCGGCAGTTGGAGAGCAGGTTCGCCCCCACTTCTCGCCAAGGGTCAAAAATGCACTCACATCCTTCAAGAGCTGGAGCATGCGAAGTTGAGGGTCTGGAGTTTGGGAGCCAAAGTTTGAGATTATAGGGGTTTCTCCACCAACAAAAGCCACCAATTGCTGCTGCTCACGAAACTGGTAATTACACTTCAGATTGTGATCGCAGAAAATGACAACAAAACAACAGCGATGTTCACCTCGTATGAACGACGATTGTTCTTGTTTGTGACAGTGGCAAGCAATCGAGACAATAATGCTGAAAATGCTCTTGACTCATACAGATGATGACTAACAAGATGTAAATAAACAAGAGATCATGATGATCCAGCCGGTGATGATGACATTTATCTATCGATAATTACTATAGCCAGGGTGCTGCTATTGTCCAGGCTACTGATTTCGACAGTCGTTAACGGCTGTAGAGAAGTGGTGCCCGTTTGTGTTACAGACTGGGACTGCGTGAAGCACAGGGGATGGACGGGGGTGCGACAGCCGGCAATGTCATTGCTTGTTCCTACACTTGCACATGTTACGATATGAAATGACGCTTCTTTGTCGCCCACAGGGCGGCCCTGATTTGGATGGGCGCGCCTCAAGTACAAGCTGTGGAAAGCACCTAAACCCTGCGTTGAGAGTATAGGGCCCGTTGAGCATTTCACCTCCAGATTCATGACAAGTCGCTGGAGCAGAGGCTGGAACTGTTGCCCTAGAAGAAGCCCGAAGAACTGGTAAGCTAGTTCCCGAAGCACTTCTTTTGAGTGAGTCCAAGAAACACGCACTGTAAGAGAAGCTTGCTACAACATAAACTTGCTGCTGGCCTTGGGTCTGCATCTGAGGAAGCAGTCGCCAAAATAAAGACGGAGTTCGTCTGTTGCTGCAGGCGCCTAGGGACCGCTAGGCTTCTAGGCTTCAAGAGCTACCGCCGGGGTTTGTTTCGAAGTTGCTGTACCTGTATATCTGTTATGCAGCTATTCCTGCTCGGACGGTCTTCACAGTTCGATCGTGCAGTAATATGCTGCAAGCATGTAGTGTAGCTGACTCATTGCTGACAGTGTCGGAAACAGAGACCAAGTACGACAAAACATATCAAGAGCTTGTTACGTTATCTTTGGGTGTTGAAGACTGAGGGCTCCCTCCATCAACGCTCCAGTACTGCGGAAGGTCCTAATGTGCTGCTCAGCATCCATGGTACGGAGTTCCTCTTTCGGAACCGTACATTACATCATGTCTTTGGCAGATTAGCTAACTTAAGCTGAACAATTATCAGAAAGTGCACATCCCCTCAACAAAATGCCGCTGCTCCACAGCAGGCTGTCTTTGTCTCGTGGGCGGCGTGCGATTCTGCCGACTTCCCCTTGCTTACTGCGCAGGAGGTTCTCACAGGCCCGGCTGTCATTGCTTGAGGCTTCCACTGCTGTAAGCTGTTAAATTCCGGAATCGCACATCATTCCCCAGTGCTGAGACACAACAGTTGTTGACTGCCGTTGCCCATGTCTTACGGTGGATTGCTGGCAGGTTAATGAGTGGGTATGTAGGTGTGAGTGTCAAACGAGTCAAACGTTGTGACCTAATGCAGCGAGAAATGTGCACGAAAGACTTGCGAAAGCAAAGTGCTCCTTCACTCGGCTGCATGTCGAGTCAAGCACGGGAATTTTCCTCCTCACTCCAAACAGGAAATCCGTACTGGCGGCCTTTTTCTGCCGATGTTCGCAAATTGGGTGTCTTGTTTCTATTTGCTGTCGTCTGCTTGCATCAAGAGCTTGACATGGATACGCGTGATGTAGCAGTTTGCGGCTAATGCATTCGATTGCAGAGAATCTCCCTTATTCGCCAGCTGCGCTTCTGGCAGGGTTCAGGGCTTAGGCGAAGATCTTACAATATGACGTTTAATTTTAATATAATGATTATATATTGAACTTACCACAGGACTCCTCGGCCCTTTGAAACCAAAATTAGGATGCCGAGGGTTTTGTTAGTGTTGCACACACGTCCACCACTGCCGCAGAGCTACTTTCAGAAGTCGAAGTTGAACCTCAAATGCCAGACTTTTGAGCCGGGATAAGGTCCTCGATCCTGCAAATGTGAGAAGTCTACCCAAGCCCCAGCTTACAAGACTCACCTACTGTGATCTCTCCGCCCTTGGCTCCTCTGTCGTCCAGGCAAGTCTAATGAGTCTAATGTAGGGGGCCTTGGGGCCCATTATACTATAATTACAATAAGGAACCCCCCCCAAAATAGTATAGGTAAGTATAGGTAATTATTGTCCAGGCATTACACCGGAGACGCCGGTCTTCCAAGCCACGGGATTTCTCGCGACGTCGCGCCAAGCTTTTCGGCTCCATTGGGGTAGTTTGGCGTGAGGTTTGTTTCTGGACAGGCGGGGAGCGGAAATGCTATGCGCTCCTAAATCCTGGCGCTGAAGCGCGACACTCTTTGAGTGCTCCATGTAGATAAACGTCCTCCGTGCTGAGCGCAGAGCAACATGACCCGAATGACAAACCTGGGGCTGTTGGAGCCCTTCAATGCATGGCACGGACTTCAGTATTTAGCTGTATATTCGTCTTCTGGGTTCTTCGAGCAACTGCGGATGCGGGCGCATGTCCCAATGAAAAGTCCTAAATCCGTATAATCCCTTGACTTGCAAGACCCCTTCAAGAAACCCTATGGAATAGCTCATGTTGGCCTAGACCGTATTTGCGAGGCTCTGCGAAAGCTGGAGCTGATCGCTGCCGCTGAGTTACTGGACGTCCGGCAGTACTTGGAGCCCTTGGTCCAAAGGCCCCCGGTTCGGGATTGGGGATACTACACGGGAGTGATTTCGCTTTGTTAGGGAGGCCCGGGTGCAACAGTACCCTACACGTACATGACCTCGTGGAGCTCAATCGCATTCCTTGTTTGAGAACTATCGATCTTAGCGGAGAGGTTGAGATGCAGGTGCTCCGCATGATTCAGGCGTGGAGTTCTTCAATGTTTGGCTTGGTTGGAGCAGGTTTTGTTCATGACCACATGCTCCGCGAGCTTCGAAAGAATAGTTTTGGCCTTGGGCTTTGCATAGCTGGGTTTTGATGGAACTTGCGGGGTTTGGCCGTGGTGAGTTTTCGCTTGTGGCGGTTGCAGCTGTCGACATAGTTTCACCATAAGCTGAAGATTCGAGCGGCAACCTTCAAAGCTCACACAGCTCACTGTTGAAGTTTGAGCAAGCCGCCTTCCTATGCTGCGCAGGAAGCTATTGCTGCCGGCGGCGCCCATAAGCCCAAGCTGCGAGGATGCTTTCTTGATGGGTTTCTACAAGAAGCTGAGCCTCTTGGTTCAAGAGCTTTTTTTGGGTTTCACTTCCTGCAAGTACCAACCTTTCTTGCTTTAGGATTCTGCCAATGCACTGTTCGTCATGGAGGATTCAAGCAGGTATGCCGTGGTGGCTCTCACGAGTGAGACCTTACTTTACGAAGTCAAGCCCTCCGGAAGCAAGACATGCGTTGCTGACTGGGTTAGTGTTTAGTGTTAACCCTAAACACTCCAACCCTGAAAGCTGAGCTTCCCAAAACCCTCTAAACTGCCCGAAGCCCTAAATCCTCAACCCTGAAACCTTAAGCCCGAAACAGCCTGAAACACCCTGAAAACCCTAAACCCCTATGCCTATAACCCTAAGCCCTAAACTGTACGGAAAAGGGTCGTGCAAAACAAAAAAAAACTGCACCAGGCAATCGCATCCATAGCGGAGGATTTCCTCTCTTCCCCTTTGACGAAGAGGTACAGGCGCAGCCTCTCCAGCGAGCCAGCAGAGCTACGCAAAAGATAGTAGCGTTTATTGTTCCCTTGGAATTCCTTATAAAATGGATGCTGTAAGTGTGCTATAGGGGTTATATGGTTACTTCCCCCCACAATATACTACTTTGCGGGCTCCTTGTTATAATTATGGTATAACGGGCCCCAAAACTCTATGTTGATTATGAAGGCCCCTATATTAGAAGCCTTCATTGTTCGCTTTCTCCTGCGGCTGCATGTAGTGAGTGCCAAAGCGGCTTTGCAGAGAATTCGCACTTTGCAGGGCTCCAGCACTTCTGGATTACGTCATCTCCCGTACATGTCACAGGTCTCACGTTTGCGCGTGTTTATTGCTCGGCGCGTCACATAAA